TTGATTAAGAATAAAGACAAGACTAAGTGAAGGTTAATGGCTTCATGTAGCCCACTCATCTTATTGTGGGAAAAATAAACTTTCGACCCTCATATAACTGTAAAAGACCAAGAGATACGAAGTATTTATTAAATAATAACAGTCTCGAAAACTACGTCACTTCAAAATAAGTAGCATGACGAATTATAACGGCAAACACATGCTTAATTAATCACTAATACCTCTATAAGTGGGATTTAGGTGAGTCCTGACTTACTATGTCGTTCACTAGCTATCGTGGCTGTGTAGAAGAATGATAGCGTTGACACGACACTTACAAACCTGTAAAAAATCCCCATTGGTGTGTTGATAAGGCCTTAGGGAGAGCTAAACTGCCGTCCATTCAGGATGAAGTAGGCTTTTGCTATGCAAGACTAATTCAAGTTAAATGGCATAGCATAACAACTCATCTCATTATTGAAAAACTAAACTAGTTTCACTAGATTTTATTATTTTTAGTATATAAGTAGAGTTTCGAGACTACCAGTAAATCAGTTAGATGAGATGTATATCAATTTATAATAGTAGCATAGTAAAGAATCCAAGCCTTTGGGGGCATGCAAAAGGCAGGTGGTCTCTGTCCAAGTATAATGCAAAGACAGCAAGTTTAAATTGGGAACGTTATTGGCATCAGTTAGGCCTAAAAGAGTAACAATAACTTACTAAAGAGTAACTAGAAGGAAATAATTGTGAATAATGCTTAACGAATAAAGCAGTGAGAAGCATATCGACTAAAATACCGGCTCCTATGTAGGATAACTTAAGCGCCCTGGGCGCAATATGAAAATGGAATTTATAAAACGAGAGATTGCAACGAAACCAACAATAAGATTGATGATAAAAAAATAAAACTATTTTAATGAGTCCTATGAATAAGATAATAGGTATCAATAACCAATGAATTGTTGCTATACATCTGAATGATATTCATAGTATGCCATTCAAATAAGTATAACTAAGTAAAAAAATATGCTCTTGTTGGATGAACATTATAAAGTATATAGCAGCATAGTTTAATAAGATGTTGTTCAAAATTTTAATATAAAAAAGCCGATGACGAATTTGACCAAAAGCGCTAATTCAGACTAAAAATCTTGTGACATTTTAGGTTAATAAACAACGAATTGACTTTTACTTAGTAAATTAAGCTCACCTGATTCACTATGTTGATAATTTACTGGAAACCAGCCGGAGAGTATGCATTGCATCAAAAGTGATAAAAGTACCTGGAGATCTCTGGATGTAAATTCCGAATGTTCTTTTTCCACTTTAGGCTGAATAGGTGACAAATAATAATTGTTAATGTCAAATATGCTAAAATTTACAGCAGTGCCTATTTGTAAGATGACATAAAAGGTTAAAACAGACGCTATAATTATGAATACCAATATTAAGAAATGTCGTTTTGTTCTAGATTTGGGCTAAGCTCGATTTTGAATCTTGGATATGTCTACATGAAGAATACCTAATGCGCCTTTAAAGCCTTAACAGCACAAAAACGATGAGCGTGTTTCGTAATTATAAAGTCGAAAAAAATAATATAGATGCTTTAGGAATAATAACTAGTATACGTGACTATGATAACAGATTATCGATCGGATTTTTCAGGAATAAAACATTAATGATAGTAAGTAAAAACGCATTTGTTTCAAAGGTTCATTACCTGAGGTTCGGTCATTTGGTGTTTTGTATTCTTGAAAGTCGTATTCTCGGTTTGCGAATATCCAAATTTATCGCCCAGTACCAAACGAGCAGAAGATGTCCATATACTTGAGAGAAGAGTATCAGCCTGAGATTGCGAAACCGAAGTAACACCAAGAGGCAGTTTAGAGGTGCCTCTATGTATATCGACAGAACACTTCGATTGTTTCTGAGAGAAATCATTACCAATGTATCCATGATCTAAGTCAGGCTAAGTTAAAATGGAAGAATACATCATTTCTTGTAAGAAACAAAGCAGCAGATATCAAGGCTTTTGGTGACCAAGAAGCTGTCATAAATGCGAGTTTTGTTAAATAATAACAGTCTCGAAACTACTTTTCTTTAAAATAAGTAGTGTGGTCAATAATAACGGCAAACACATGCTTACTTAATTAGTAATATCACTATAAGTGTGATTTAGGTGAGTCCTGACTTGCCATGTCATTCACTAGCTAGATCTCAAGAAGTATTTAGAAGTATTTAGAAGTATTGCAAAAGTCAGCTTATACTAGATAATCAAATACATAGCTAATTAAAAATAAAATAATGAGTTGAAATTCTAAATAACATGTGCTAACGACGAGTTGAAAAAATTGGTGCTTTAAAATTATCTGCAATTCTAAGCAGTTCATTTTGGAGCTTGAGACAATAGTAAAGACCACAGTAATTGCACTAAAAAATGAGCAACAACTTAGACAATCAAACTATCTAAAATTCCGTTCAGCCAGGCAGGCAAACTAAAGATGATAGCAAAACAAATTAAAATTATTAGTATTTAAGTAGAGTTTTAAGACTAACAGTAAATCAGTAATATGAAATGTATTCACCCAATTTCGTTTAAGATGATCAGGGACTGATAGAAGAATTTTCCCACAATATGAGTAGAGCTAACGTTTCCATTGAATTTCGCATAGCCTTGCTTTCCTAAAAGTTGCTCTCATCTAAGGTGGACTGCAGTTTCGACCTCGCATCGGTCTTATCAACACCCACAGCGGGAGTCAAACCGTGACGGTGTAGAATGTGAGCTTGACACGGTAGCCACTCAGCCAGATTGCCACGAGCGCTCTTGGGTCACAGGGCAGATGTGAATTTCAGGTAGTCAGGCATTTTCCATATCACATTCTGTGTTGGGATTGTCTATGAAGCAAACGTATATTTGCTATAACAATCGACTGCGTTACTTTTTTTCGTATATAAGTAAAGTTTCGAGACTACCAGTAAATCAGTGATATGAGATGTATTACCCTATTGCGTTTAAGTTAATGAAGTCACTGTTCGACTCCCGCTGGGGATGTAGATAAGACCGATGCAAGGTCTAAACTGCAATCTACCCTGGATGAGAACAACTTTTGGGAAAGCAAGACTATGTGAAATTCAATGGAAACGTCAGCTCTATTCATATCATTGTGGGAAAATTCTACTACCTGTCCTTCATCACCTTAGATGAAATAAGGTGAATGCATCCAAGGCTTTAGGAGCCATGCAAAAGAAAGGCGGTCTTTGTCCAATTCTAATGCAAATACAGGATGTTTCAATTGGCAATACTGAACTCCAACAAACTATAAAATAGTCAAAGTTGTTTGACCTTGTCTTCGCCACGCCTAGAGGAACGCACCTTGTCCGAAGACCATAGAGCTCAAGTCGGACCGTATACTTGGTACATTAGCAGACGTTTCGCTGGAATCGTAGGCGGCATCCTAAATGAGTCTTGCTATTCTCAGCGTCAAACTAGGACTTATCGAAGCAACAAGTGCAGTCGGTCCCTTAACACATTTTCAGCTGAAACGGTTGTACTATCACTCCTCTTCCAGTCCTGGCTCCTCTATCTATTTCCTACAACCTCGTCTTGCCCTTGTCCTTTCACAATTTCTGACTTGTTTATATCTCACTCTTCAAGAGAAATGCCTTTTTAGCAAATTTGCCATGGTGTCAAAACATCTGCTGCTTGCCTTGCTCCGTTTCCTTTCGAGTGGATGATCCGACTGGAGCCTCCTGTCTAGATCTAGCTCATAGACTCGTAGATTATTTTTTTATCTTTCTGGTTGACCGATTTCACTCGGTTCTAGCCTCTCGGGACTTTTACTCCAAATGCTTGCTTTTGTTTGTCTTTTTGCGTTCTTGCTTTCTCCAAATTTGACTAGATTATATTAAAAGTTATCAATTAGTATACCTTCTTCTAAGGTCTTGTTCATTAATTTTTTTCCACAATGATACCAATAGCTTGCTTAATCTTCCCCTGTTTTGAGTTTTCATCATGAGGCTCTTATTTCTGCTGCTTTCCAATTGATTTCGTGTCAAGTCTGCTCAATATATTCCGCTATATCCTATCTTTCAGTATCCATTTTCCTAAAGAGCATTGATGTTCCATGATTCGTATGCTAATTTTTCTCCCTGTTTTGCCAATATAGTGGATATACTTGTAAAGAGTGTTTTTTCCTTTGTGGAAACCTGAATATACCAATTTCTTATTATTGGATATAGTTTTGGGGGTTAGTTCGCATTTCTCTATCTTTACCTATCTTCCGTCTAATCTCACAAACAGGAAACGAGATCACTTGGAAACCAACAGAAAGAAAGATCTACTCACATGCTAAAGACACAAATAAACGGAAGATTAGGGAGGCCATTGACATCCCCGAGGGAAAAAATCTAATGAACAGAAAGTTGGAAGAGGTAAGAAATAGTGATAACTTCGCCTATTGCCTAATAAAACTAGAAAACAAGGATAGTACAGCCAAAAAAAGACGTCTGTATCAAGGAGCTATAGTAAACTAGAAAAAAAGGATCGCATGGAAGAAGAGGATAAGGAAGTTTCCGAAATAATTTGAAGACGTTCTCAGTGAGAGTAGTCAGGTGAAATAAAAAACGACAACTTTGGGAACCTGATGTTTCACGTGACTAGGGGAAGGATTGGATCACATAAATTGAACATTATGATCAAATTTACTAATAATCCACTCGAGATGCATCAGGTGATCAGAGATAGATGCATACATTTTACAAAGGATACATGGATTTAATCAGAGATAACGCGTGAAGGCATTCTCTAAAAGTCAAAAGCATGGGAATCAGAGCCTAGACGCTCTGCATTGTACGTGCTGGAGTATAGAGTAGACTGGAGCTGAAACTGTGAAATTATTCCATCAAAAAGTTAAGAAACGGAGCTACGAGCCCATGGTGCAGATCCGGAGAAAAGTCGGATCATTTACCAGAAAGTAAGGGGAGCAAGGAAGACACCAGGTGTGATGACGCCACAGTAAATCCGCCAAGATAGCACATCTCATGTCATGTTAGAAGTTGTGATAGGTCGAAAGTGAGACAAGAGGGTAGGAAATAGATATAGGGGCCAAAATAGGAAGATGAGTTATAGCATAACCGTCTCGATAGAAAATTTGACTAAGGATTGACTTCAATTGTCTCTTTGACTAGTTGCAGTTTGGTGCTAAGAATGGCATCACTCACTGACGATGTTTACTACTATGCCGGTGAAACGTCTGGGAATATACCAAGTCAATGATCCGACAATGCATAGTATGGCCTCCGAACATGGTGTGTTCCTCTAAATTTCCCTGTCAATATGACCAAATTGCTAAAATAAGATCAAACAACTGCTATACATCGAAAAGAGACTGAGATCAAAATGGATGCGACAATAGCATGGTATTCGTATTTACGTATGAAATAACACTTCGTATCTCGAAAGTTCTAGTTAGCAATAAAGATATCATAAGACAAAAGCCGAGAAATATTGTAACATGTAAAAGATGGATAATGATCGCCATTTAATTCGCAGGAGACTGCTTTAATGAATATGGTATCGACGATGTGGCTCAGCATGGAACCTAATTAAGACAAGAAATACCACAACATTTTTGGGTTGGTACAGAAGAGACTAGAGCATAAGAAGGTATAGACTTGGTATTACGGCTATAAACAGGATAGACGCAGTGGAGAATAAATCTAGTTGGCTCATAGTAGACCTACTTTACCATTGACGTGGTACACGAAGCAGAAGCTAGACCATTAGAATTACTCAGGGGCTTTTGCCTCAAGTTAGTCTCTTATAGGGAGTGTGGGAAATAACGCCTCAAGTGGCACAGATAGCGTGGCAGAGGTCGAGTGAAATACTTGAATATAGGAGATAGCAGACGGATCCTATGGGGTAAGGAGACTCTGATAAGACCTATGGAAGAAGGAATGCGTAACAATATGACAGACTCTGATCCAGATTTTCAGCACAAGGTTGAAAAGAGATGAGAAAGACAGTGGTGTGTAGAGTTCTCATGAAAGCTCCTCAAAATGGCAAACGAAATCGCATTTAAAAAGGAAGTAGAAAATTGTGATAGTGAAAGCGTGATACGAGGATAGAGGGTTGTTGATTAGCCAAGGGCGGAAAGAGAGATACCACAATTTTTTAGAGGAGAAATAGTAAAATGATCGGCTTTGCTTGAAAATTTGACGAGTTGTAGTGTGGGGCTGAGAATGGAAAATTTCATTGATGATGCCGGTGAAACGTCTGTGAATGTACCACGTCCATGTTCCGACTCTTAAAATTACCATGCATACAATGAACTCCGGACTAAGTGTATTCCTCTAAATCTTCCTAATAAATTAAAAAGGTTTAGAAAACAGAGTCAAACAACTTATATTTATAGATACGAAGAGAAAGTGGGTTTGATGAATCTCCTGAGATAACATTGTTAGATGGACCTTCATTTCGTATGAAAGTACATGAAGAAGAGATTCGTTGGTCGATCTCACCAGATGAGGACGGATGAAACTCGTTGTACTGCAGCCGGTTGGGATATTCATGTTGACGCAGTCCACTGGACTTCCTCCCTCGTTTCGGGTAAAAACGTGCTGAGCTTTCGTCAATATTCAAAGAGATTCGTTGGTCGATCCCACCAGATGAGGACGGATGAAACTCGTTGTACTGCAGCCGGTTGGATTGTATAGGATATTCATGTTGACGACCAGATGAGGACGGATGAAACTCGTTGTACTGCAGCCGGTTGGATTGTATAGGATATTCATGTTGACGCGATCTCCCCAGATGAGGACGGATGAAACTCGTTGTACTGCAGCCGGTTGGATTGTATAGGATATTCATGTTGACGCATGGTGAAAACGTGCTGAGCTTTCGTCCATCATATGATGGACATCGTCAGAGCTGGGTGTCATTCTTGTAAGAACTGCAGCCGGTTGGATTGTATAGGATATTCATGTTGACGCAGTCCACGGGACTTCCTCCCTCGTTTCGGCCTTTCGTCCATCATATGATGGACATCGTCAGAGCTGGGTGTCATTCTTGTAAAAGTCAAATCTTAACACTAGGCTAACAAGAAAACAATCTTGCCTTATTCTTACCTTTTATATAGACTAAGCTAAGCCAAAAGAAATTAAAAATTAAAAACCTAGATGGATATAGAG